AGTTTCTGTAGGAATATTAACGCCTTCCATATTGTTAGTATACGTATTCTTCTGACTCAAACCTTCCTTGCACCATTTCCAGTACGGACCTGTCCCCGACTGTGAACAGACGTGGAATTCCTTGGAATTTCGTAGCAAACGGATGGTTCTAGTTTGTAGCGATTTGTTTATGCACGTACTTTATGTTGAAAACAAATTATTTCAGGATTCTGTAATGCAGTACTTACAGTCTGATGCTAGCTGTTAATGTCTACGTAGAAATCGAAACGAAAAATTAACTAAATTCACTATAAAATCCTATAGATTTACGGAGCACAGATCAGTAGCTGCTGAGCTAAACTGGGCAGGTACGGACTCCAAACAGGACGTTCTCGTGTACATTTGGAAGGAAAGTCTCAAACCTAAAGCACTTAAAAACAGATATGGTAAGTAGGAACCTAGCTAGATGTAACTCGACAAGGACGAGACATCAGATTATCTAATACGTCAACTAGTTGATAAAGTACTACTAAAGAGGTGGAATTTATTCGACGAAATCAGGAAAAAAATAAATATTATTTAAAGAGCAGTTTTCCACCTCCAAAAATACTTGTTAATTAAACTAGTAATATAGGTTTCGTTCGTCCGATCATAGACGGCCAACCATGGACAGCTGTTTCGTACTATTTGACAATCATTAAGCATAATATAGGCCTTGTGTCGGTATAATCTAGAGTCTTGATTTACAACGAACGAAAGTTGAACAACTCTTTCGTCGTTTAATTTTAACTGAAAAATGACCTCTCTGAAAATGATTCAATCATTTATCAGGAATCTCGCTTCAGGGAAGAATACAACACGAAGGCTACCCTTTTGTCAGTAGCCGACGATATCATCACCCCTGCAGACAGGGGAGATGCCAGTGTTCCCTTGCTCCTTGACTTTTCTAAGGCGTTTCTTAAGATAAAACGATGCTTATTGTTAGCAAAACTGAAATATTTCGAACTATGTAATTCAACTTTTTCTTCATTGATACCCAATTGGCACGTCACAAAAGGTTGTACTACAACGCGATTACTCGGGACTGAGAGATATTATATCTGGAGTACCGCAAGGGTTTGACTTAGGTCCTTTGCTTTCCATCATGTATACATCCGACATAATCAATCTAGATGTACAATGTACAAATCACAAAATTTTTGAAGTACTGCCGATCTATTATCAATAATGACGCTGTTTCGGATTATATGAATCGCAACTCTTTAAAACTTAGGCCCGATCTTCAGTCGTTCCTACAATTGTAGGACGCCTTTACGGCCTCCTTGATTGTCATACTCCTTTATCTCCTTCAAAAATTGTCATAGTTTTCTACTTTTCTGTGTCAGCGCTCTATTTTGAGGTTATGTTACAAATATTTATTTGCATCAAATTGTGCATACTGTTTTATCAACCTGAAATTTCCTACAATTTAAAAAGAAAACATACATTCACAATAGGAGAGCGCTGACGTTGACACAGAACAGGTGCAATTTAGAATTTTTTAAGAAGAGGAAGTAATATGACGATCAAGGAGGCCATAAAGGCGTACTACAATTGTAGGAACGACTGACGATACGGGCTTTAGTGATGACAATACAATGTTTCCTTTTAGTCAAAAAATAAAAAGTAGTTTTCCAAATATGTATGCAAATTTTTATTAAAAAAAGTTAGTAATTGTATGACTGTGTAACAGCCAAATCTATGAAAAAGTCTCAAATTTTAATTATTTAAAATAAAATTACATATTGTATAAGCTTTTATTTAATGCTTAGACCAAAGCGCTGCTAAAAAATTACAAAAATACTGAATAATTGTCGATTAATAATTGCTCTACAGATATTCTCTATTATCTTTAGTACACAAATGTAGTTAATCCCCCTGCAGAGATAAGTGTATTTTTTTATAGTACGAATTTGAAGCATTGTTTAAAATGAAGATTCATCATCTAAATAGATGTGTTTGAACTTTAGCTGAGCTTCATGTATACCTATTTTATTATTTAGCTAAACTTCGAGCTTTCGTAGTGCAAAAGTTACGTATAAAGTAGATTACTATTATCATGTATGAAAGCTATAATACCAGTATATGGTACTTGCATAGCTCACCGGAATGCCCTCCAAGGACCTCAAAACGACTCTTGAGTTAGCTGCAAACAGAATAGGACTAGAATGGAGATTCAATTCAAAATCAACACTCTGTAATTAGAGAAACATCTCCCTAGACATCTGGCAGCTATTGTCGAAATGACTTTGGTGGTGGTTTGTGTGCAGGGGCTGGCAATGATCTGCTTTGTGGGCTATGACGAGGAGACCCCACAACATTTAACGCTGTTGCGAAGCTTTTCAGGGTATTATAAACACATTATACTAGAATTCAGCATTTTAGAACCAGAAGGTATAAGACGGGCATTAGCGTGGATCTTAACTTTTGCGAAAAAGAAGAGCACTAACGTCGATATAGCCACAAAAGGGCCCACTACATGGCGTATGCATCGGTGTTAGTACTTCATAAATTCATTTATAGCCCACGTGAAGCCAAACGATTACTTTTTTTATTCACATTTCCTCGTTTTATGTTCACAAATAGTTAACGTTACTAGAATTACAAAATAGTATACCTGGAGTGCGATGAATAAAATAAAGAACCATTAATTATATCTTTCAGTTGTTAGATGCATGAAAGGTAGATATACGCATGGTGTAATTTAGTCGATAGGTACTTGCAGAAATGTATTTTATGTAATTAGCGTTGCATCTGAAAAGACTAGAAGAAATTGTCTTGGATGGATTATATAACCACAACGTATGCATTCCAAATGCCAATGTCAACTGTTACTTAACCTGACGTAATAAAGTGTTAGCAGACGCATTTTTATTAGCAGGGTAAAGTTATTGATTATTATTATTCGAAACGCATTACATGCATGGGTTGCAGAACCTCTTTGTTTACATATGGCTCTAACCTGTGACAAATATGACTCTTGTAAGGTGAAACAAAAATATGGAAATAATAGCAAAGACAACAAGATGTAATGACTTACATTCTACTTTTCAGAAATTTTGCAGGTTCAAGAAACACCGAAGTGTTCAAAAATTTACCCTAGTTTATTACTCAATCATTTTTTGAACAGGTCAGGTTAGCAGGCTGAAATTTGGGACGATGAAATATAACATGAATACTATACTTCAGCGACAACATAGCAGTTGAAAATTTCAAAATGACGGAGGAGCACCATTCTGGAGCACTTTTTTAAATGGAATATGGGAACATGCGATACCCCAACTTGGAGCTTCTCATGAGTACTTTACAATGTAAAATCGCCACCCGTCATAATGACAGATTGGCAGGCTGTCAAATTTGAGCATGTTTCTAGATTGAATCATTTCTAAAAAAATTGTACTTCAAGAATAGCCACTGATGTGGCCGAAATGCCAGCAAACGCGCTCAGCTGCAATCTTTAATTTTTCAACTTTAACTTTTACGTTAAAGTATAGTATTAATCAACCTGCTAGCTTGACTTGTCAATAAAAAATGTCGAGGAGGGCTTTTCAAAAAGCACTGTATATCTTAACTTTTTGTGAATAAATATTTTCGATTCGATTTTAGTTTTACAGCACCTTCACCTTGTATATCGGTACATTAAAGTACAGTGTCATGAAAATTATGTCAATTACCTGCTATAAAACTATAAGAAATCAGGCACTCGTATATTGTGTGCAATTAGGCTGTTTTGAAACAAAAATAATCTTCCACAACTTAGTGACAAAGTAACGGTGCCACATTTTGCAACGGTTCCTGTACGTCTTTGTTATTCTTCTATAACTATTTTGATTGTTTACTCCAGATTGAGATACAGAAGCATTGTGGAATGAAAAACAATAGTTTGTGAAAATATGAAGAATTAACTACTATATGGTAACTGTAGCTACAGTTACCTGAATGTTCAATAAATGATTAGGCAATAATAATCATTTTCCATGTAGTTTCCATTACAAGAAAACTCTGTAGCATGTTTCAACTAGATGACTACAGTAGCAAAATTTGCCGCCATTTGTACTGGTTTTCGTCAGTCTTCTTATTTGTCTATTTGCTAGACGCTACAAAGTATGCGATAGATTAGTGCAATTTTCTGTACAGTTTTCCTAAAAGAACACTGGAGAAGTCATAACGTGTTTTGCTTTCATTTGATAAGCATCGTCAGACTGTCGTTAGCAGTAGCAGTGGAATAGCTTTAACAGTTCGCAACACTTGTCAATGAACTATCAAATCTAACAGGAAAGTGGAAACTGCTGTCAAACTGACGAAAGCGCTGCACCGCTGGACTGCTGTACGTTAGCTGAATGTACACAGTGACATTAATTGGCCACTTAGATTATATAGTGGTTTTCAAAAAGGTCTCCCCTACTCATTTCTCGAAGGGGTCAAATTGTCAAGCTGGAATTCCGGATGATGAAACTAATGGTATGTTTCCTCTACTTCCGCCTGAAGGTGGCAGTTGAAAGTTTCAAGATGGAGGCTAGGTGCCATCTTGGAAAATGAAACTGTCTAGGTTAAGCGTTTTTGTATATTGGATCGCTAATAACCCAAGCAACTGTCGTAAAAGCGCTATATATATATACTATACTAATCTTATTATAGGACTTCTGCGACCATAACCAACACTATACAATGTTGTTCAACGTTTTCAGCTATTATCAGTACAGTATAGGTCTAGTCTTTTGGAGACAGATGACAGAAATCATACAACGATTACGATCTAGTTAAAAACTGATTAATGTAGTGTGCAATAAATAAAGATGACACTGCGACCTATGAGTACTACCGACCCCTACGTAAGGTATCAGTTACCGATCCCACGTACGATAGCATCATATTTGATTGCATTCAGATAATCCTATATCATAACATGACAAATTTATAATAATAAAATACAACAATAACATTTTGAGAGCTGCTCATTGAGTTTTCACTGTGTCACTCACCTGTTCGCAGAAAACAAGATTGTTGAGAACAGCAGTAACAATGATGTACTGCCCAAAGGTGCCCCACATGCCTTTATTGAAGAACTGTTGAAATCCATCTACTTCTTTACAAGTACACACAGTTTTCCACGTATACAACACACATTTGGCGGCATTATTCTGAAGTGCCTTAACATGCACAGAATCTGTAACGAAAAAAAATTACAACATAACATTTGTAATTCACCGTAGTACCCGATAAAAAATTACTCAGTAGAAACTGAAAGTGCGTGAATTCTTCCAAGATTAACTCCAAATACATACACTTTCTTCACATTTAGATCATGTGCATTTAAATCTATCTATCAGCAGTACTGAGAAAGTGTAGATTTTAGGGAACGGAACCATATTATTTACAGATGCTTGTATATTACGTAGAGATTGCCGAAAGTAACTTCGGTTTACAATACTCACACTTTGCACAATACTGAAACATGATTGCTGCCATAGATGGTGATACTGATGTACCGATTATACACAAATACCCCAAAGCGTTTACAAAAAAAAATTAAATTGGTCTCTTTAACCGTTATTGTCTGTAGAACCTTGTCTCTTGATTAAACTCTTTTAGGTCAGTAGGTCTGTCCGATGTAGTTGCCCAGATACCAGACTTGTTCAGGAAAAGGAATGAAGAAGAAAATGAGGGGTATAGCAAAAAGGATTAAGTACGTCAGTTGGAGGAGCACTCTGGCATTGTTAACTGAAGCTCGAGAATCTTAAAATTTATCTAGAAAAAAAATATATTTTCGTCTTGGATATAAAATTGCTGGTTCGTTCTTTAAGAAAGAGATGCCAAGGTCTATCCTTTGCCAATAAGCAGCAAAGCAAAGGGTATCAAATGTTGTTTCACTTTCCCTTGAACGATAGATTCAAAAATCTACGAAATAATGTGCTAAATCAGGGAATGACAGGGCTGGAGCAGAGCTTTATGTTAGTAGCAGTTTGGACTATATGTTCACTGACATTAGGCGCCTATCATAATCACAGTACCAAGTAGTAGATACAGAATTAGAACACACAGGCAGGCGGAGGAAAATAGTAATTTGGATATAGCGTGACATAACTTCATGACATAACCATGATATTTTGGGTTGCTTCTCCATTTATCGTTCCACAGGAAATAATTACAAGTAATACTAGCAAAACAACCTAAGGCAAGATTTCTACTAGCTGCCCACCCCGGAATCGCACACTCAACTGCCGCATCATGATGTTGAGTCGCACATCTGGACATGTTTATTTAATGTAACATCGTATGGCAAGTAATTACTTTTTGTAGGCAAATTCTTGATACCATGATTCCCAGTAGTAATAACTGTATGAAAAACCCGCGGACAGACGCGGTGGGCACTTTATAATGTGTAGTTATAACGGTTTTCCTTGCACTGGGTGCGGGCGAGGTTGAAACATTTCTAACTTTTCAAGTTTTAGGCAAAAGTGCGATGAAATTTGTAAGTGAAATATGTCTAATACCGAGGTTTGAAGCGTATGGGCACACTAGCCAATAATTAAGATCTGCCCTCACTCAGCCCCTACAACCTACAGCCCCCAATTTTTAATCCCTACAATGCTTTATTCATGAAAATGTTCAGGAGCCTCTGAAACGTCGAAAAACTTTGAGTGACCTTTATTTTTCTCCTTTTTCTCCTGTAGCTCAGCCGCCACTGGACTGATTTTCAAAAACTACAAAGCTTTTTCGTTCTTGGCATAGTAGAAGCATTTCATGAAAATCCGAGCAGTACTTTCCAAGTTATAGACGGGTCTAGGACTACCGGACAGACCGACAAACTGACAAACCGACAGACCGACAATCCGACAGAACTGGGTGATATATTTTTCTTGATGTGCATGTCATATAACATGGAAATACATTATATCTCAATTTCAAAACATCTCGCGATTACAATACTTCCTCGCCAATGGCGTAGGAAATAAAATCGGCCAAGGCGGAAGAGCAGACGAGCCTCAAGAAAAAATTCAAGCAATAAGGACTCTTTATACTTTATTAGTCTCTAGCTTTCAATGGACTTTGCCATCTTCATCAGGAGCTGCAATAACATTGAGAAGAAATAGCAACTATTGTGCAAAATGATTTTAAATTAACTTACAGTAGTATGTGAGATTGTTAGATATATATATATATATATATATATATATATATAACCCGTCGAATTTGCATCCATTAATATACGAGTATGTTAAGCATTTTATGGTAAATGGGATCCCCGACTAATAACAAAATAGCTGCTTTCTAATTGATCTACAAATTTATAATTACCTTCTAAGTACCTTCAGTCATACTTCATGATCTCATGTAAAACCTAATATGTAAAGTACCAACATTCTCTATAGCTTTAATGAAATCTGAAGCGTTAAGCATTAAAAAAATGCAATTAACTGAGTAAAATTACATTCCTTAATTTACATACCGTTTAATAAGTGAAAACAAACACCGTTAATTGTGGCTTACTACATTTTAAGGACATAATATGCACGTATTTGACAATGTAATAGGGTATGCAAACGCAAAAAAAGCGTTTATAATAGATTTGGAAATAATTACATATCAACAGTTACTTTGTTGTATAAATGCTATATACACTGTGTAACAATCATATAGTATGAACTTATCTCGAATTACTGTACATATTTATCTCTAGGTTGAACGCGCACAGGGTGGGATAACTACCTTTGAACTTGCGATGTTATCGTTTTCCGGAAATTCGCGTTTGATAAAAGTTGACAATTGCCTTCTTTATAGAAAATGTTCTGCAAAAATTGTTATATTTATTACAAAAAGGATTTTTTTTAATTGAACTGTCTTCCACTATTGGGCCCCAAGCTTTCATATGTCCGAATTTCTTGTTTGTACCTGAATAAAAACAATAAATGAGTTGTAATGGAACTACGATCTACATTACATAGGAATAATTATGGTACCCTAGAGAGTTAACTAAAACCATACTCAATGATGAATAATGCAAAAGAAAACAGTAAAACAATATCTAGAATTAAAATTATTTGCGGTTTAGCTCCGAATAAAGAGAATCTTATTATCTAAATGGTAATTTCTGCGGTAAAAGTCAGGACACTTACAAAATTCTTTCCAAATTAATAAAGTATTGTAAGCCTCTGAGGTTTGCTTGAAAATTAAGGGGTTACTTCCCCAACCCTGACGGTGACGCATTTTATGAAACTAAAAATTGAACTGTCTTCTATAAATAAGCACAGCGGTATAAACCCTAAGTAGTAAATTTCTGCAACATAAGGCCGCCGAATATAAAAAATTCTATGAGCACGAAGATAAATGTGTGTAACTAATAAGTCGCATCGGCTTGAAATTTATTTTAAGCAAGCTGATGAGAATTAGATAGTGAGGAATACGAATAAGAATTACTTGTTTTGCAAATTGCAGTGAGATGTATTGAATGACGTTGCAGATTTAAATTGAAGTCAAGTATTGAAAATGTAAAACCTAGTACCTTGAGCTCTGATTTCGAGCTAAGGGGCAGACGGAACGACTTAACGCACAAGTATAGATGTAATAATGTAAATGATATCAAAATAGAAAGTTGCAGTACTACATCAATGAAAACCACGTTTGTAAGGTCACTTAGCTCATTTACCATATTGCAATGTGAACTATCTCGATGCTTATTATGTCCAATACTCCTAAATAATATGGGGGTAAATAAATAAATGTAACAATATAAATCAAAAGTATTACCTTTATGGAGATAAAATTCTTTATATTTATGTATTGGGGGTTAAGATAAACATTTTTAAAACGTGACAGTGTTTCTGTATTCTGTATCTTTCTAAATATCTTACTTGGAATTAAAATCTACTTTCGTAGCTATTTGTTTAATGATAATAGTTCTATACTCTGCGCTGCACTTCCTTATAGGAGGATTGCAGAGGAAAATGATTAGTTGCTTTCCTACGGGTTGATACGTAAAAATTTAAAACCTCCACTTGATCATCATTATTTGTATTTATGTAACTCAGAAAGTGAGCCTTTGTAAATTTTGAGCACAGGAATGAATGAACTCATAACACATTCTGAAACATTTTGGTGAATTTGAAGCAATTGACATAATGTAGAACGAGATATGTATGAAAATACATCTTAAATCCAATCAAGTCATAAAGTTATGCTGACAAGTATGTCAGCTAATCACTGGTATTGTGAAAGACGAGACGAGATGAGAGTTTAACGTGAAGCATAAAAGGAAATAGAAAATATTCAACAATTATGGAAAAGTACTAATTTATATATCTTTTAAATCTGGACAAACATAATTCAAAACATACCTGCGTAAGAATATCCTCACGGTCATTATCTTTGGTAACATCATGGTGAGATGACTTTTACTTTATTAGAATGATATCCACCCTTGCTTTCTGACAAATGATTAAAACTAGATCTGTAAAATATAAACAAGACTGCCGAAATACCAGTATAGTTATATAATGGTGGTTTTAACTTTAAAAGAAGCCTTGATGAACTAGGACCAGAGAGTCAAGCACAGGATGAGTTAAAGAAGTTTCGTAAAATATTATAATCATGTTACTTATTATTATAGGCATGTAGAGTGGCTACAAAAACTTTTCAAAAAAACATGATAACTAAGATGTAAGTTGTAATATTAATATAATGACTAACTTTGAGCAAATAGTAAGAAAACGCCATATTATTCATCTGCCCAGTAAACGAAACCACATAAATGATGACGACGTGACGTTCCGACTAACATAGCAGCCTTTTTCAGTGGTAGTGAAAAACAATTCACTGTTTTTTGAAAATATGCTACCACAGAACAGAAACTTCCATAAAGTCATGAATTTGCCCTGGAAGTTTTAGCACTTGCAATACTAAGTACTAATTTATATATCTTTTAAATCTGGACAAACATAATTCAAAACATACCTGCGTAAGAATATCCTCACGGTCATTATCTTTGGTAACATCATGGTGAGATGACTTTTACTTTATTAGAATGATATCCACCCTTGCTTTCTGACAAATGATTAAAACTAGATCTGTAAAATATAAACAAGACTGCCGAAATACCAGTATAGTTATATAATGGTGGTTTTAACTTTAAAAGAAGCCTTGATGAACTAGGACCAGAGAGTCAAGCACAGGATGAGTTAAAGAAGTTTCGTAAAATATTATAATCATGTTACTTATTATTATAGGCATGTAGAGTGGCTACAAAAACTTTTCAAAAAAACATGATAACTAAGATGTAAGTTGTAATATTAATATAATGACTAACTTTGAGCAAATAGTAAGAAAACGCCATATTATTCATCTGCCCAGTAAACGAAACCACATAAATGATGACGACGCGACGTTCCGACTAACATAGCAGCCTTTTTCAGTGGTAGTGAAAAACAATTCACTGTTTTTTGAAAATATGCTACCACAGAACAGAAACTTCCATAAAGTCATGAATTTGCCCTGGAAGTTTTAGCACTTGCAATAGAAATCCAAAATGTCGTCTTTGAAATTTCGATCCCATCTAACACACATAGCACACCTACAGTATTTTCATAAGAGGCACAATGTTCATATATTAATATTATTCACTAAATTGAAAGGTGTACTAATTTACAAAATTGATAATTAACATACTTAGATAAATTGACTGTCGCCCTCAAAAGCTGTTCGTGGTATCAGCTTTCTGCGCCCGGCTTGGAACCTGCGATATTCGCTCGAATGGTACTAGTAAATGCTACCTACGACTTCGCGAACGCACGTTTTCAGCGGATTGCCGATCAGTTCTTCCGCAAACCGTCCTCACCAACAGATCGTACCAAACTAACGCAGTCTGCACAGAGAACGGAGCAACTGATACGCGAGAAGTACCAAGCGGTGGTTCCACTCTTCTCTCACGGCCAACGAACCATGCAACTTGCTTTTTATTATTGCTGTTTTTGTTTTTATACACTAGAGAAACAATCATTACCTGTCAGTGAGTGATCTGTCCAGCACCGCTAATGTCTTACCTACTGCTCCGGAAGCTGTATGTGGACTTGTCGTCCCAGTTTACCAACGACGTCTCCATTTTTTGGTACCATCCTTTTACGGATTCAAAGCTAATTGTTATAGTGTTGACCTACTTGATTTGGTTTCAGTGGAATATTCTCATTTAGTGACGACAAGAATTGGGTAGTATCAAACGAAGAGGTGACATCGTTGCATTCCCTTCAACCTTATTGTTCAATATCGGTTTCAATATTAGTTTTATAAGAACTCCGGGAAAGTAATAGTAAGGAATTTAGTAGCTGAAAGATAATGCAATCGATAACATCACACCACCTGGGTAACTCAACATTCTCAAAAAAAATGAAGGAGTTATAATGATATAGCCATCACAAGACTGATGAAAGGAAGACTTCCTTTGAGATGGTCTTATTGCAACTACGTAGCTTTCAACCAACCAGAGAACGTCATCATCGTCCCAGCTCAAAACGGAAGGGGGAACCAAAGAAATGTTTGGTGGAAGTTCTACAAATCATACTTAACTACTGCTTGGTATTTTTTTTTCTATTTACATTTAATTTTTTTATCGGTTTATATAGAGTCTCCCACGATAATTTGACAGTTCGTATGGATATAGAAAAATACTAGGTATCTTTTTTGACACATTCAAGCAGATATTGCACTAGACGCTTTTTTAAGTAATAATTTAGTCATTTGCAATACTTAAAAGCAACACTTGATATATGATATATGACAAAAGTTTGCTATACTGCAAATTTTATAGACCTATTTTGTAGGCGTTCATATTTCTCGAAATCCAAATAGGGTGCTCATTTTTTCAGTCATAAAAAGTATTGTAATCGCGAACAAACTTAAATTGGAAGAATGATTTTCAACTATAACATAATAGGTACATTTTTTGACCAAAAGGCTCCCACAAACTTCAATTTATCTTTTTCTTCGTTCCTGATGATTTTGAACGCAATCAAACATTTTCTTAGAGAAGACAAAATTCAGAAAGAAGTCAAACTTTGTTGATATATTTTAAGACCTATTCAAGAGTTTATTTGAAGGATTCAAATAATGTGGAATCCGGCAAAACTCGTTTTTCAAATTCTAATCATCCAGTTACTTTTGTATAACTCCAAGCACATCACGAAAAATACGAGGTGTGCAAAATATGTGGAGTGGAATCTGCTGATCTAGAAACGTCACAAATCTTATTTGATCAGGCTAACTAGTCAAATGTGAACCCTGTTGTAGAAGAAATTGTATAGAAGGATTTATCTATTCTTTACAGTGAATGCTAAGGCCCCTCATCTCCAAATAAGAAACAGTTCTTTACAACTGTTAATTGCAAGAAATTGTTCATTCTTTGCCGAAAAGTGGATGATAATAAATGTGAAATAGTAGCCAAAAGTTAAAGCCTTTGTAGTGATTAACGTTGGAAATTCTTCAAAAATGTTCGAGCAATCCAGCGACGTACCGCTGCAACGAATTAGACATACAGGGTGAGTTTTTAGTATGTAATTGGACAATATGCCCATTACTATAAAACACGATCAAAAATCTTATTTACAAAAATTGTTGACTATACACCTCCTACTTGGAATATGCCGCTCCCTAGATGGTGATTCATACCGACTTGACAAATGGAACATCGTACATCTTTTAGTATATTCTCATACGCGACTTCAAAGTAAGAAGTTTTGATACAGCCTGGGATATAGCATAATATACTGATTCCGGTTAAAATAATTACTACTGGAGAGAAATTATTTCCCTTTGTCGATGTTTACTCGTTATTTTAATACAATTACTTGAAATTTCGTCATGTAGCCAACAATAGTTTTATAGAATATGTAGAAGGATATGTAGCCAGTTTATTCTAGAATGACTTGAAAAACAAATTTGTCATATTTTTACCATTGTGATCTTCAAAACGATAAGATATATGGGTTGGTTGAGTGGTGGCAAAGTTGCGTATTTATATATACTAAGTGACATATAAATCCCAACACCCAGTTTAAATGGTTCTATTTTAATAAAAGTTGGTGAATGTATTTATCTTACTCTAGGTAAATAACAAGTGAAAAATTTTTCAGCCTTATCAGTTGGACATTCCGGTTTTTATACTGCTTTTTTTAATTCACTAACGCTCTAAAAATGAATATTTCAGCCGCAGTAAAGAATCAACGTTGGCGGATTTTGGTTCTTGACATCCTTTACGATCGGTTACGATGCCTAGAGTACGGAGACCTGTACGACTTCGCCAACTTAGTGAGTTTGATAGGGGCCGTATAGTGGGACTTCGGGAAGCTGGACTTTCTTTTCGGGCAATTGCAGTTAGAGTGCAAAGAAGTGTAGACACTGTGGTTAGGTGTTGTCAGGCATGGCTTCGAGAAGGCCGTACGCAGAGAGCAAGGGGCACCGGACGCCGCCGTAGAACAACAGACCGTGAAGATCGCCGCCTAAGATTATTGGCCTTAAGGAACCGTTTCTCCACTACCAGGTCCATTGCAAATGAATGGTTTGCAGAACACGGAAGACCTATTGGCATGCGAAGTGTTTACCGACGAATGAGAAGTTTTGGCTTGTTTTCATACCGGCCACACTGGGTCCTCCCTTTAACTCGAGAACACCGACGTAATCGCCTTGAGTGGTGCAGACAACGGTCACTCTGGGATCAGGAGTGGAACAGTATTGTCTTTAGTGACGAGTCTCGATTTTGTTTAGGCATGCTCGATGGTCGTGCCAGGGTTAGAAGGCGACGTGGTGAAATGAGAAATCCACAGTTTTTTGTTGAAAGACATGTTCATCACACTGTTGGAGTTATGGTTTGGGGTGCTATAGCTTATGGTTCCAGGTCACCTTTAATCTTCATCAGAGGTAACATGAACGCGCAGCGTTGTATCCACGAAGTTCTAGAACCCCATCTTTTACCATATCTTGACACCCTGGCAGATCCAACTTTCCAACAAGATAATGCCCGACCACATGTTGCAAGAGTCACAATAGACTTCTTTCAACATAATGATGTCACATTGTTACCATGGCCACCAAGATCTCCCGACTTATCCCCAATTGAGCACGTGTGGGATATGATGGGTAGGAGATTGCTCAATTTGCAACGTCCTCCTCAGACTCTAGAAGCACTTCGAGAGGAGTTGGTGGTTGCCTGGAATCAGATACCACAGGAGGACATTGACCACCTGATCAGGAGCATGCCTAGGCGCGTTGGAGAATGCGTAGCACATCAGGGTGCATCCACACATTATTAAAGGTCAAAGGGCTTTAAAGCAGTGCAATCATTTTGATTTATGTCACTTAGTATATTTAAGAGGATGCATTTGAAAAGTTCTAAAACTTCGAGTATCTCGGGAGAAACACAGAAATGGGAAGAAATTTTCGCCAAATCGTTACTAATTTTTTCTGAATTTATTTGAGACAGTATTTCAAAATGAACTTTAACATTGCCACAAGGTGTCATAAATAGAAAATTAATATGATTATGATTTTTCCTATCTTATCTTTCGTGTCAACTATGATTATTCTCATGTGTGCCATTTTTGTATAGACGAGCATCTTTTAATTCTGATTAGAAATATTATATAGTAGCTTGTCATACACTAACATATTATACATTTTTTCCCTATAAGCACTAAAATTATCATAGTCATTTGTTTCCTAGAATATTGATATAAAGTATATAAGATGTGTGTCTCATATAGTTGCTTTAAAGTCATAGAATGAGGAACAACATACCGTAACTCATTTGTATTATTTATTATATATTATTAGATATCAAAAAGGGTATAATTTCAAAACACTGAGAGCTGAAACGTCAGATCGAAATTCTAATTATGCCACCGTGTAGAAGAGAAAAAGTGGTAATGCTATTATGTAATTTGTTTGAAATTTGTAGATGTTTGAACAGTCTTGTTTCGGACTAAATTGAAGAAAAAATAAAAACGACTTAGAGTAAATTCGGAAATGCAACGAATTTCCAAACTGTCCATATTCCATTTGTTTACATACGCAACTTGCAGCCATCAAGTACTCCGTCTCGTATAATTATCACGAGATCAAATATTTATTGACTATGTACCCTGATCGTGAGTAATGATTGATGCGTAATGTTACGCAGAAATCCACTGATGGTACGGGCCACGGTGAATACTGATCGTGTGACATTCGCTTTACCGTTTCCGAGATCCCCGAGGTTCGAGAAGACCTTAATGTCATTTTTTGACTCGCAACTGGTTATTTACGAATATAGAAAATAGGGTTGAATCTATCAACCCACTTAGTAAGAAATGTAGAAGGTCAGAAAAGACTCCAGAATATCACAGCCTCGATTAAAGTGCTCTGATGGAAAAAGGACCACCTACTCTACAAATGAAGAGAGATGGCATAAGGGCATAGTACAAAGGATTGCGATGTTTATTAAAAATAAGGCATGTAACTCTGCCTGCGACAACGAGGGAGCAGTTTGCATAACAAACTTCATAGCTGGGCGGCAATTATCAAGAGACTGTATCCCAATCTCCTTGAAATTAAAAAAAATTGCCACTTGGTAAAACTATTCATTGCCCTGCTTGATCTCATTCATACGTATTTTAGTTCACCTCAGTGGCATTAGTTTAAAAGTTACTTCACTCGCCGTATGGGTATTCCTGACTATTGGTGCCATTTATGCATTGTGACGCACGTTCCTGGTGAAGTTGGTCGCAAGATCTGAGCTATTACTTTAGGCTTAGCCTTGAAGTCTGTTATAGTCCTCCCGCCGTAGTATGTTATAGAAATCAATCTTGTAAATAAATTCCAAGAATTGTTTTTTTGCACTGGTGAAAGTGTTTTTAAATTTTTTGAGCACTTACAAAAGAGGTGTTTCAGATATCCGTCTAAAGCTGTTTGCTTT